AAAGGATAGAAAGATAGGAATGAATGTGAGGGTATGTGGCCCTGTGTTAGGGGCCGGCAGTCATTAGCATCTCTTATGTGCCAGATGCTTTCTCGCCCAGCTACTAATGAGCACATCTGATCTCTCTTTTGGGAAGATGTAACACATTAATCTGACCTTTCTGCTAATTGTAAGTGCAAAGCAGGAGTTGAGCGTTAGTCACCTGAGGAGTCACGATAAGTGGGCGAGACAGACCTCTGCTTAGGACCAGCCTTCTCTAGCACGCATTCAGTCGCTTTGCTCCTGTTCGTGTTCTAGCATCTGTCACGTCATGTTGGAAGTCACATGTTTAGAGCGTCTCTTCCTTCCTAGACGGTGAGTTTCCTAAGGTCGGGAGGAGTCATGTCTTATTCATTGTATGAGGTGTATCCACATCTTTATGTTGAATCTAGTCTCAACAGGCTGAACTGTTGGATAATATGAATGCTCACGTGTGTTATCTAGAGAGTGTCAGACAAGTGTTTTATTCTCTTTGAATAATTTAAGTGGTGAGCGCTAATGAGAAGATAGTTAGGTGTTTTGTGTGAAATTCAAGGCATGTAAGATAGAGTGAGGAAATACTTGGTTTAGTTTTCTTCCCCTATTTACCTTGTGACCAACAAATATGAATAACCGCTTATTATCAACAAAAAGAAAACACAAGTCTTTTCCTTCTGGAAAATAATTATGCTGAATAATAATTTTCTGTTTGAAGTGCTTGTTTTAACTGCTTGCAGTGAGAGACTATTTCATCCAAGGGACAAAGCACATGTGGCCTGCCGTGTTTTTGCAGTTTTGGAATGTTTTTAATGTTAACTAACAGGAAAAAAAATGCTAGAATTTTAAATATAAATACGGGCTTCTTTAGATTTAATATTTATTTGTTACTAGTTGACAGAAAAACAAAAGTATGAATGCAAAGTAAAATGACTTTTCATTCTAAACATTGTTTCAGGAGCTCTTTCCTAAGCCCTTGTGAATAAAATTACACTTGCAGTGTCATTATAATCCTTTAAAATCTTGAAATCCTTGCAAAGAACGTTGACCCAAATGTTTAAATAATGACTTTATTTAGAAGTGAATGTTTCTAATTGTCATAGAGTATCATTTTCCAGCTGCTTATAAAACAATATTCGCTTAAGCCTGCTGCAGAAACTGCATACTATATTGTGCATTTGTTAGTATGTGAATTCAAAAGAAACTCGATTTGGTTGTGATATAAGTGCGGATTTACTTTAAAATCAAGCTTTAGTATAAACTCAAGTAGGTCGACAGAAGAGCAGTTCAGTAAATTTTTATATGTCTAAACAGGGCCTGTTTCTTCATTATTGGTGATTCATTTTAATTAACATTTTTGTTGTGATTTCCATTGTAAAAGGACCCATATTGAATTTATCCCAGTAAAATGCTTTTCAGATTCTTGTTTTTGTTGTAGTTTTGATTTATTTTATCTGCTTATCTGCAACCAGAAATGATGTAGATGTTGCTGTGACTAAACTAAAAAAAGATTTTTGTTAGAAGTACCCAGATCATATCAGTGGGAATAAACTCCACTGGGCTCAGCATATTTGCCCTAAAAGGGTCTGTGAATTTGCAGTAAATATTGTAACTTGAAGTGTATGTTCTTATAGACTAAGATTTCACCTTGAGACATTTTTCAGTTGTTTGCTTATTTTGAGGGATTCGTATTGGCGTTATCCGCTTTATTTATTTTTATATATCTCTATAAGCTGCCAACTCCAGCAGACCTGTCTCAGCCCAAAGTTTGTTCTCAGTCACCTTCTCTCCCCTTCTTTAAAGGGAATGCTTGCTTCCTTGGGCATCTCAAACATCATCCTTGCCTGCCTGCCTTCCTACTTCTCTGCCTGCAATTCCTCTGTTTCTTTATACCTGAAATGTTGGTGTATCCTAAGGTCCCATCTTTGTCCCCTTCTTTTACTTTCCCTCTTTCTGTTCCCAAGGCGTTAGCCACCTCCTGTATATGAGCTGTTGATGTCTCAATCTAGGTCTCCTGTAGTGGACTCCAGGCCTGTTTGTCCAGCCTTTACTTTCAAGTCCTCCTGGTCTTACTTAAGATGTACAAAAGCAGAACTCATTGTAATATCTCCCCAAACCAGCTTCTTCTGTATTCCTTGCTTGAGAGGCCTGAGCCAGAGCTCTGCAAGTCACAGCAGTCTTCATGCCCTCAATTCCCCATCTAGGTAATCGCCAAGTCTTGTAGATTCTGTCTTCCAGAATCTTTTACTCAACCTTTCTCTCTGTCTTCAGTGCTTGGTTCTTAGTTCAGCCTCCCAGCAGACCCACCTCCATTACTGTAGAGGATTCCAACTATACCTCCCTCGGGCCCCACTCCCTTCCTCGTATCATCTCACACTTCTCAATCCCTGCCTCCTGGCATCTCATCATACCTAGAAAAAAGTGTGGAAATAAAATGATGTAAATGACTCAGTTCCCTCATGTAACAAGTAACAGTGTAGATGAGTCCAGGACAGTTAGAAAGAATGGAGAGTTCAGGATTTCATCACATGTGGACATTATGCCTTCATTTTTCGAAAAACAGTGCCCCAGGTCTGTTCTGGTAAAGGGAACTAAACTCTCAGTCCAGTTTTACAAACTTACACACAGGTGGAGCCCACTTTTGATTGAAAGAGTCTCTTAGTATATTTGACTTATAGTAATGTTTAAACAACATTATATTTTTAACTGTTTACAATTTATTGTTGAAACTGTTTGACGATATGCCTTCAAATATTCTGAAATTGTTACGTTCTTCTGGTCAGGATCCCGGTGAATTTTTTTTTAACCCCAGTTATCTCCTTTATTCCCCTATTACAGCTCACCTGAGCAAGGAGAGGAGGTGCTGGTCTTTGACTAAAAAAGTATGAGCGAGATGAGTGATTGGAAAAACTACCACAGCCTCAGCTCTGGCCAAGGTCTGATGTACTTTTAGCCTCTTCTTATCCCCGTGAAGTGAGGAAACAGTCAGGTTCTCTGCTTTGTGTCTTGCTCGTGTTTGTGCCCTATACTGCTGAGTCACTATAAATCAGGGGGCTTCATGTGTTTTCTCTCCTTTGGATATGTAATGAAAGACACCATTACTCACTTTGGGGGCAGCGGAAGACCCAGCATATAGAAATGTCAGCTGTTTTAACAAGTCTCCAAAGACCGTAAGCTTTGAATTTTCTGTTCAGAGTGGGGTTAATAATTGAGAAGATTCACGTGACTCCTGATAAAAATAACTTCAGACACTTGCTCAGAAAATTGGCAGTGTTCCTTACTTGCATAAATTGGTTATTTTTCTTTGAAAAATATCATTATTCTTTACCTCAGAGAAATAACTTTTACCTGAAAAATCTTATAAGCTTTTTTTTTTTTTCCAGAGGGAGAAACTGAGGCTCTTTTTGCCAAGGTCTTGTGACTCACTGGCAAAGGTGTGAATGAAACCTAGGCTTCCCACCTCTTTCTTCTCTCTGTCCTTTCTTCTTTGATATTGGTGAACAATTTTTAGGCTTCCACATGAGGTATGATTATTTGGCAGTAGAGGAGTGAGCTACAGCACAAGGAAATACTCAGTGCAAATAGATACTTGACGTATATTGAAATTTTGGCTTATTTAGTATCGTTTAGATCTGATGTTTTAGGAATCAATTTTTTAAGTATACAATATCCCTAAAAATATTTTGACTCTTTATATGATAAAATACCTTGAAAGAATATATCATAATCTTTATGGTAGAGAAGTTGTCTTTAAGATGTGCTTGATATGAAATCACAGAGAGAAAAATCTGTGGGTCTTTGAGGATTATGTCATGAACAGAATATAAGAGTGTTAAATCTACTAAAACCACCTCCCTTTACTGTATATGTTGATCTTTGACTTGAATTGAAAAGGGTTCTTTTTTCCTCTCTATAATATTTTTAAAAAGACATTGGGCCTTAAATTGAATTCTCTTACATGGAAAAAAGGAAAAAATTGCTTTGGGTGTTAGGTCATAAGAAAAGGTAGGCCCTTAGGAAGGTTGAATTCATGCCTGTCTTGTTTTGGTGTTGGGGCTGTTCGTCATCCAGATGATGCACAGATGCTCATTCTCTGCTTTCGCAGATTTGTCTTTGTGTCTGCTGCTGCTTTGAAGGGTCTTGTCAGAAGCTAATGAAGAGATGGGACAGCAGAAGGGACGACGGTAGCACACGAGACCCTTTTGTTCATTCTCTCGATCATAACTTTACATTGAACTCAAAGGCTTTGGAGTCTCGGTGGGAAGAGGCCCCAGTGTGTTGCTGTGAAAATAATACTGTCCTGGGTTGCTTACTCCTTGATTAAGACCTCCTAGCTCTGTAGACAATCCTATTCAACTATTAGGAAATACAGGACTGAGTAATAAATTGTCAGTTGTCATTGAAGAAAATAATGATATTATGATTTGAAAAATGTTGTATAAGATAATTTCAGTCTTTACATGTCATCCTCATCCCAGCCCTTTATTGTTGAAGACTTTCCAAGATACACTGCCATGAAATCTAGAATAACCGCATGATGTTTTGGTGAGCCACATTGGAGACACACCTCTGTGGGAGGCGACAGCTTCTCCAGAGAGGACCTTTGGCTTTGGAGTGGAACCAGCCTTGGTTTGAATCCACGGCTTGCCACGTTGGGCTGTGTGTCCATGGGCTAGTTACTTAACCTTGTGGGGTGTTGTGGGCCTGTGAATCATCCAGCATAGCCCCTGGCATGGAAGAGGTGCTTAATAAGTATTATTCCCCTTCTGTTTTCTGTGCAAGTTGTGCATTTCCCTGTCCTGGGAAGGCATTCCCGGTCTCAGATTACCCGTGGGATCCTCCTTTAGTACCATGTGATGGAACAGGCGGGGCAGCAGATGGGGAGAGCATGGTGTCGGCTCCTTGTGTGTTCATGCCCTGCGTGTGCAAGCGTGGGAGGACCAAATACTGCCTGTTCCATGTAACACTCTTTCCTTTCTCGGCAGGTGCCTGAGATCATCAGCTCCATCCGACAGGCCGGGAAGATTGCCCGCCAGGAGGAGTTCCATTGCCCATCAGAGTTTGACGACTCCTTTGCCAAGAAGTTTGAGGTGCTCTTCTGTGGCCGGGTGACGGTGGCTCACAAGAAGGCCCCGCCAGCGCTGATCGACGAGTGCATCGAGAAGTTCAATCACGTCAGCTGCAGCAGGAAAGCCGAATTTGACTTGGGGTCTCAGAATTCCAAAACCACAAATCCTGAGGGAGGGTTTTCCTTCACGGATAAATTCCGATCTGTGCTCCAGCCTGTGGGGAATGGGGCGCAGGGCCGGAGGCCTATGCGCAAATCCTTCTCCCAGCCTGGGCTGCGCTCTTTGGCCTTTAAGAAGGAATTTCAAGATGGAAGCCTTCGAAGTAGTAGTTTTTTCAGCTCTTTTGAGGAAAACGACATTGAGAACCACCTAATTAGTGGACACAGTATTGTGCAGCCAACAGATATTGAGGAAAATCGAACTATGCTCTTCACGGTAAAATATTATCTATCAAGCCTCATGCTCATCCCCAGTCTGAGATACATGTTCAAAAGAAAATCTGTTTTACTGAGCGAAGATTCTTCATAAATTGCTTTTGGATTTATGTGTGAATCCATATGTTTTTATACTAAGTAATTCTTAGGATAAAATCCTTACTTGAGTCTAAGCCTTTAAAATCATTGGGGGAAACCTAAAGAGAATCCATCTTGTATCCTTCTATAATTTTTATCCCCCCTGTCCCTCATGGTTATAAAGATTCATTTTCAATGTGGAAATAACAATTAATATATGTAGAAGAGGCCCCAAAAGGCATTTTTAAAAATGTGTATTAATTACAAGTAATACGTTTCAACAAAATCTTTTAGTTGGAAAATACTCCCTCTTTACTGTTTTTATTAATTTATAAAACATTTATGCTTTGTTAATCAGGTTAACTGGATTTGGAGATGACGTGATATCTGAAATTTATACCCAAACTGATATAGTAGTTCAGCCAACTGCTTACACTTATTTCTGGAAAAAGTTTGGTAAACTGATAGCCAAATGCTAGGAAGGAATGGACAGGGAAGCTGTCCCTGGCAGTCGGGGTTCCTGTGTTCCGTGCTGACCTGGGCTCTTCTGGACGGGCTTGCCCTCCTTGGGAGTCCCCTGGGTCTGAGCTGATGGGACTTGGAGCCGTCCCAGCAGTGAGCTGGCCTCTGACGACATGGGGAACTGATTGTTCCTCTGCACCCTTCTCTGTTTCTTCTTTGACGCAAGGCTGGCTGACATTTTAGAGGGAGCAAAATTTTCTTAAGTGTAATGTCTTGTTTTTGTGCCTAACTCAGGGCAGTGAGGTGGCTGAGGGGTAAGGAAGCTGGATACTTAGGTTAATGCTGTGTGGGCGTATGTAGGTTTAAGATCAAGATGTGTCTCAGGGTAAATAGGGCTGATTTTCCTCTTTCCATCATTGACCTAGTATACTGGAAAGAAGGCCACGTTGGCAGTCAGACTTGTGCTTTAATCTGTGACCTATATTTAAAAAAACTCTTGGTGTCATTGCAAAGGCTGCTCAGTGCATTTATTTTCAAGTACTTATCATGTGACTGCTGTGTACGTGGTCCCTAGCAACACGTTAGAAACACACAGTGAACAAAACAGGCATGGTCTCTGCCCGCGTGGAATTTAAATTCCGGTTAAGAGAGGCCAACAACTGATTGTACAAGTATTTACCTCATTACAATTGTGATGAATGCTGCAAAGGTGAAGTAGAGGATGCTGTGAGAGCATCTGCGGAATCAGGGAAGGCTTCTTTGAGGAAGTGACTTGCACTGAGCAGAGGTTTCAGTGTGGCCAACCGGAGCGTGTCCTGGGTTCAGGGAACAGCAGGTGAGAAGGCCCTGGGGGAGGGAATGCGGCACGGTTAACAACGTGACTATTGCAGCACAGTCCTCCGCTCCAATGGAGGTTTATTATGCTGACCCAGGTCAGGAAGACACTGCTGATTTACGCTAATCCTCTAAGTTGAAAAAATCAGCTGAGTAGTACGTGAATGCCTAATGCATAGTATGTACTCAACAAGTGGTAGGTTATTTTAACAATAATTTAAAAAGAGTTTTTAGTAAATAAAAAAAATCGTTGGAAAGTGTTTTGGAAGTTTTAAAAGAGAAGCTTCTTTCTGGAAGATTCACGTACGTAGAAACCTCACTTCCTTACAAAGGGGGGATGTGTGATCTGAGGTTTTGTAGCTCACTTTTGGATATTTGGTCTTTTCATCTCAAAGAAGATAAGAAGAAAGAAGACTGCTGTCTTATGTAGGCGAATGCACTGATAGTTGTCTTGTGCCACCTGAAATCCATAGGATAAATTATAACCTTTGAAGTGATTTTCTACAATGGGACGGAGGTTTACAGAAGCTTGCCCCTTTTATTCTTTATTTTCATAGGTCATGAAATGAGAAAGTTTGTATAATAAATGTGAATTCAGCTTGCATGACGAGCTAGTTTCTTTTTTTGTTTGTCTTTTAAGATTGGCCAGTCTGAAGTTTACCTCATCAGTCCTGACACCAAAAAAATAGCGTTGGAGAAAAATTTTAAGGAGATATCGTTTTGCTCTCAGGTAAGTGCAGATGGGTTATTGGCTCAATTGCAGTTGAATTTTTTAATTTTGCTCTCTGTCATTCAACAGAAGTGCTAAAGGTCACAAGATGTACACTTTCTAAGTACTTGATTTGTGATCTTGCAATTCTTTCTCCTTTGCTTTAGAAATTAAGGTAAAATATAATTTTGAAACTAAGAATTCTGCTCTTAGCAACAGTAACCTACTGGAGAAAATAGATCTACTTTCCTTTTTTTCAGTTATTGGTGGTAATGTTCCACAGTCATGATTTCTAGATGTATACATGTGTGTCTGTGTGCGTGTTTTATATATACATTCATATATACACACAAATACACATTTTTAAATAGATACTTTTTTTGGTACCGATTATCATTATTTCTTCTTCCTTTTAAAATATAATAGTGATTATCTTTGAGGATGTTTTACTCATAATACAGTGTCTACTTGAGTTCCTTCTTGGCAATCTCCCAGGTGTGTTTCATAGAGAGATTTGGGAGAATCACTTATAATAAGCTATGCCAATTTACTAAGGATCTTCCGAGCAAATATGAGATCACTTAAAGTTATCGTTTGGCTATTTTTTTAAACAGTGACTTCTAATTTCCTCATTTCTATTTTCTCATAGTAAGATATAATGAAAATCTCATTGTTTGTTGATTTATAGCATGATCTACATAAGGATTCAAAAGGGAATTTTTTTTTTCCAAAATGTGAAAATAAAGAATGTTCGCTTATAGTTTGAATAGGGAACTATTTACAAAGGAGAAGTTCTTCCAAATTATATTCCCCTGAGAAGTAACCTCTAGTGTACGCTTAACTTACTGTTGGAGAACGTCGATCAAGATGCCAGGATATGTCGGTGGTTGCCCATTTATTGGAAAATATTTGACCTGAAAGTGAGATTATCCACAGAATTTTTACCTTGATTGGCTGCTATTTCTATTGAAATGTTAATGTTAGATGTTTGCTTTTTCATGTGGTAGTTTATGATTTTCTAAAGGATCACCTGAACTTAAGCTATCAACACTCATATCTCTCATGCTGGTGCTTTCAGGAGACACCCACGGATTAATATTTATGGACGATGTCTTATCTCTATCAAGGTGCTTCTTAGCTGATGCTTTCAAAACAAGTTTACATATTGATGTTTATTAAAAAGAGCTCTTAGGAAACTATGGTAGAGCCTTGGTCTTAATATCTTATGTTTAAGAGCGTCTCTGCTCTGTGTGTAGATAGTTTTTGACTCTATGGTTTTTGACTCATTCTTCATACCAGTTTACTTTGGTATTTACCTGTTTGTTATTTTAGGAGTACCAATATGTTTTAAATCTTTTTTTTAACCTTTGTGTTTGTGTGTGTACTTGTGTGTGTCTGTGCGTGTGTGTACAGTTGTTTCTTCATTCATCTCTCGTGTGCTTTTGATTTTCCAAGTAGTTTTTAGTTCTTTAATACCTAAGAAAATGCTCATTTTTCTGTGTCAGCTTTTCTCCACTCCCTTTTAGTAATGAAACGGGCATTAAAAACTCCAGTTTTTACATCTTCTCTTGTTGTGGGGATAATCAGAGTAACATTTTAGTAGAATGATGTTAATCTTCATCATATTTGAGAGATGTTTTTAGACATTTAAAATATTTGAGAAAATAATTTTATAGTGCTCTTTAAAACCACACCATGTAAATCTTAAGTTGCCTCTCTGGCAGTGGTGTCTCTTTTGGACACAACTGAATGTTCCTTCCTCTTTTCCTTGCCTCCCACAGGGTATTAGACACGTGGACCACTTTGGGTTTATCTGCCGAGAGTCTTCAGGAGGTGGAGGCTTTCATTTTGTTTGTTATGTGTTTCAGTGCACAAATGAAGCTCTGGTAAGCGAGAATGAGTACTTCTTACCCTGAAACCTTATTTACAAGGAATTCAACCTCACTAATTTTTCTTTGCTTAGCAAACCATATGGCCTCATTGAGATATCATTATTTGGCTTTAATTATTCATTCATGACTAATAACTATCTAGTACATATCCGAGACTTACTTGGGTGTGCATTTTCAATTTTCATTATTTTTGAAGAAGCTGCTCACTTTCACCCTCTCATCTAGCATATTAAAAATGTCATTTTGGACATTCGATCAGAGGAGTTGGCTTTTTCGCTCAGTATTGACTTAGTGTTTTTTGTTTTTACCTTATCTCCTTTAAGAGCTGTGAGCATCTAGGTAGTATTTCTCAGACTGTCATCCTAGCAGTTATTCCAATTATTATCCATTGACCTGTGACTAATAGTCCAGAAAAATACTAAGTCTTTCCACAGAGTCGTGAAATCTCAGCCCAGCTTGTCTTAAATGGACTTTTTGCTGGTTACAGTCGCTCTTGTCTTTGACCAGGTGGATGAAATTATGATGACTCTGAAACAGGCGTTCACGGTGGCTGCAGTGCAGCAGACGGCTAGAGCCCCAGCCCAGCTGTGTGAGGGCTGCCCCCTGCAGGGCCTGCACAGGCTCTGTGAACGGATAGAGGGTGAGTAGGGGCCCCTTTCAAGCTTTAACATAGCTGGAGTTAGAGATCCCAGGAAAACCTTAGACGATCTGCATTTGTTGAAAGGTTCTGCCTTACAGGGGCTTGTGTTAGTTCTGTGGATCGCAGGTGAACTTTCATCGCGCAGTAGAAGTCTTTTGTGTGTCAGGTATTGTGCTAGGTGCTCAAGGTTGAAGATAAAATCCATGTCTCCTTCTACCATCTCCCCTCCAAGGGACTCCCAGGGGAGTGGAGGAGTCAGGGAAACAGGTTACAAAACCAGTTGCCTAGCATTTATCAAGGTTGTGAGTGGTCCTTCGTATTGGCTGCCATGGAGAGATCTAGCAAGATAAGAACTAAACAGTTTCCCCTACGTGTCTCAGTTACAAGGTCATCGGTAGAAGGTCAACTGCTAGAACAGTTTTAATGGAGTGGAGGGTGCAGAAGACAGGTTGCAGTTGAGGAGCCAGTAGGAAAGCGTAAAAGAAGTGGTGACCGTGAGTATGGACTACACTTTCTAGAAATTTGGCTTAGGGAGAAACCATGATAAATATTATGATTTGCAGCTAATATTTATAAAGTATTTAAGATGTGGCAGGCACTGTACTTAGAGCTTTATTTAACATTTATTATTGTCCATTTAATCCTCATCACATTGTGGGGAGGAAATGGACTGTTTATTCTGTACATTTTAAGGATAAGTAAATTGAGGATTAGTGAAGTCTAGGAGTGAACTAGTGTCTGATGAATACAGGAGTTAGCCCTAGGTGGGAAAGCCCTAGCTGTTACCTGCCGCCAAAGCTCCTCCTCCCAGGAGAAGGCCATGCTGCGGGGAGATCCAGCTGACTTGACTTTTTATAGTTGGAGAGTTTGAGCCAATTCAGAGCCCAGGGGACCAGATGGGTCAGAATGGAATGGAGACGATCCCTCCTGAACAAGGGTGGGAAATCTGCCTCAGGCAGCAAGAGAGCAGCTCCGTCTCTGGGATGCAGGGGGTCGAGGCGGGAAGACAGAACCAAGGTTAGGATGAAGGGGTGGCAGTGATGCTCATCTGAGGGAACCTGGAAGTTGAAGGGGTTCATTCCTTTCTTTTCTTGATTTTGTGTTTTGTTCCATTTATGGGAGGATTTCTAAAACTTTTTGTGTGTGTGTGGTTTTGAGGGGGGTCACAGGATTTAAGCAACCTATATTATTGTAAAAAGAAAACAAATATTTGATTGTTTCCCATGTCTCTGGAATACTTATTATAAGCTCTACTTATGTAAAGAAAAACAACATTACTATCTAGATCTAATTTCCATTTTTTTAATAGTTGTGGTAAAAATACACAAAATTGACCATTTTAAGCTTTTTAAAATGTACAGTTCAGTGGCATTAGTATGTTCACATTATTTTGCAACCATCCCCACCATCCATCTCTAGAATTTCTTTTTTTTTTTTTTTTTTTTAAAGATTTTATTTTATTTATTTTTCCCCCCAAAGCCCCAGTAGATAGTTGTGTGTCACAGCTGCACATCCTTCTAGTTGCTGTATGTGGGACGCGGCCTCAGCGTGGCCGGAGAAGCAGCGCGTCGGTGCAAGCCCGGGATCCGAACCCGGGTCGCCAGCAGTGGAGCGCGCTCACTTAACCACCAAGCCACGGGGCCGGCCCCATCTCTAGAATTTCTTAATCTTTCCGGACTGAAACTCTTTAAACAATAACTCCTCATTTCCCCCTCCTCTCAGCCCCTGGCAACCACCATTCCACTTTCTGTCTCTGAATGGTACTGGTGTAGGTACCACATATAAGTGGAATTTATAGAGTATTTGCCCTTTTGTATCTGGCTTGCTTATTTAGCATAACGCCTAGTGAGTTCATTCATGTGGTAGCATGTGTCAGAATTTCATTCTTTTCGAAGTCTGAATAATGTTCCATTGTGTGTATATACCACGTTTTATTTATCCATTCATTGGTTGATGGGCATTTGGGTTGTTTCCACGTTGTGGCTATTGTGAATGATGCTGCTCTGAAAGTTGGTGTGCAAGTATCAGTTCAAGTTCTTGTTTTCAGTTCTTTTGGGAATATACCCAGAAGTGGAATTGCTGGATCATATGGTAATTCTGTGTTTAATTTTTTGAGGAACCGCTGCTCTATGTTCCACAGTGGCTACACTGTTTTACATCCCCATGAGCAATGTACAAGGATTCCAGTTTCTCCACATTCTTGTCAACACTTGTTACTTTCTGTTTTTTTGTAACCATCCTAATGGTTGTAAAGTGGTACCTGATTTCCCTTTTTAAATGATATAAAGTGATCTTAAGGTCTTCGAAGGTTCATTTGCTGGCATTACAGTGCTCTTTAAAATGAATCAAAATGATTAATATTCTTTTTTTTTTTTTTAGGAAGATTGGCCCTGAGCTAACATCTGTTGCCAATTTTCCTCCTTTTTTCCTTTTTTTCCTCCCCAAAGCCCCAGTAGATAGTTGTATGTCATAGTTGTGCATCCTTCTAGTTCTTCTATGTGGGACATCGCCTCAGCGTGGCTTGATGAGCAGCGCGTAGGTCCGTGCCCAGGATCCAAACTGGCGAACCCCAGGCCGCCAGAACAGAGCTCTAACTTGACCACTATGCCAACCAACTGGCTCCAAAATAATTAATATTCTTTTTTTTTTTTTTAAGGAAGATTGGCCCTGAGCTAACATCTGTTGCCAATCTTCCTCTTTTTTTCCCTCCCCAAAGCCCCAGCAGATAGTTGTATGTCATAGTTGTACATCCTTCTAGTTGCTCTCTGTGGGACGCTGCCTCAGCATGGCTTGATGAGTGGTGTGTAGGTCCATGCCCAGGATCTGAACTGGATTCGGAACCCAGGCTGCCAAAGTGGAGCGCGTGAACCTAACCGCTATACCATCAGGCCGGCCCCAAAATGATTAGTATTTTGAGCTTGGTTTTTCTAGTTGTTACTATTTGCTGACATTGTACAAAATATATCTGGGAACAAGAAAAGTTGTGTTTTAACTGGAGATCCCATCTGAGAGGATCACTAACCCTTTCCTTAGTGGTTGTCAAGATAAGGTAAACGAGGACGGAAATGTCCCTTAAGAGCTTATTAAGAAGCCAACAAGAAGCCAACAATGACTTTGGCCTTGAAGTTAAAGTAGATCGTGATCAGCAGGAACTGGAAGGATTCCAGAGTTCCACTTGATAAATCTCTCTTTGGTCTGGCTTAGCTTTCAGAAAGTTGTGGCTGAAAAGTTTAATCAGGGTAGGGATTTTTCTGCTGTAGTTTTGCATTTATCATTTAATTCTTCCTTTTATCTGATAAAATCCAAGCAAAGCAGAAAGCTGTGCTAATGCAAAAACATCCATTAAACAGCACATTTAGAAGGCTAGTGAGGGTATGTTTTGTCTACACGATGGGAAATGTTTCTGAAGTATAGATGGCACATTATTAGAGGCATCCTTAGTAGAGGAGATGCTAATTATTTTATGAACAGTTTGAGGCCCTTGCTTTTTGCTATATTGCACTCCTAATAAGTAGAATGAAGTGGTTTATTAAAGCTCATTGTATGTTTCCATAAGAGTAGTTCTAATAGGAAGTTGTGGTCTGGCCAAGAACTCCATAAACTGTGGAGAGGACCAGTGATGCGGCCACAAAAGGCAAGACTTAAAGACTGTGTTTTCTTAATTGTTATAGTCACATTATGCCTGGAATCTATAAAATAGAATCAGCACACTGTACATATGATGACATCGGCCACTTACAACAGGTAAGAGGTACAGCTGTGCTTGGTCTGTATTTGTACAACGGCTAGTAGTATTTAGTAGTAGTTTGCTTTTTAAAGTTTAGAGGAGCATTTTGGGAATTACTAGAGTGAATTAAACTTGCACTAAAAGGAAGAAAAAAAGTAGAACTGAGGTTTCCTTTTGCTCTCTAAGTAAATTTGCCTCTGGCAAAGCAAAGCCATTCATCAGAGCTCCCTCTAATAAGAGCCTTTTCAGCAGGACAATTTGAAAGGGGCTCACTGACAACCCAGGGCTGCAAGGGATTGTCCTTTGGGAATGCCTGTGACCCTGGTTCCCTTTTTCTGTGTTGTTCTTTGCCCCCCCCACCCCGTAAAGCCTTTTGGCGTCACGTGGGGAGTGCTGCCTTCTTGCTGCAGAAACCACCTGGTGGTGGCTGGAGGTGGTGAGAAGCCACTTGGAGGGTGCACAGTAAACATGGAGTGGAGAGCGAGGTGGTGGGACCCCCTCTGTTTTGAGATGGGGCTGGAAGGACCTAATGAATTGAGGCATCCTGAAGACAAGGATAAAACTTGTCGAAGGATCTCTCGATACCTGCTGAATGTGAAGAATAGTCGGTATTGCATGATTTCAGCTAAAATTGTTAGAAGTGTATAACACTCCTCTTAGTTAGTTAGTCGAACTCCTCTTAGGACTTGGGGTTTTTCTCCACATAGGAATGTCTCATCAAGCAATACAGTATGTCCAAAACAAGATACTTACACTGTGTCAGAGACATCCATATGCTGGGAGGATTCTGAGTTAATGATTACTGAGTGCTTATTTAGACACTGTTTTGATTCAGCATTTAAGTAGTGAGTGAAGTAAAACCATGTGTGTGTTTCCCTGGCTTGTGTGACCCGACAGCTTGCCGGAAGAGCACCTGAGTTGTGCTCTGACAAAGCCCATCTGTCCTGTCTGCACTTGACTCACCTCTGAATTCACTTTGGGATTGAAGCCCCCTTGTGTCAGGTGACTTGACTGTCCTTGCCTGTCTGGGTAAAGGGAGGCAGTGGAGTGTTTAAGAGTGTGGTGTCTGAAGGTAACAGACATGGTTCAAATTGTAACTCTGTCCCTTACTTACTGATGACCTTGGACAAAATGCTTGACTTCACTGTGCCTCAGTTCATCTGTACATTGGGATTACTAAAAATAGTGCCCCCTTCAAGGATTATTTTGAGGAATAAATGAGATTACACATGTAGTGCTGAGTGGAGTGGCACAGCAGTCACTTAAGAAATATTGGCTTTTGTTATTTTATGGTGGCCTCTTATGGTTTTCTTGGCAGAAAAAAAAAGTTGTGGGGAGACAGGAAGGACTCCCTAGAGGCTGAGCTGGCTGCAACAGTTCGAGCGGGGGCAGCAGCCTGGCCACAGCCTTTCAGGAGGGTAGGGGCTCTGCCTTCAGCTGCAGTGGGAGGGGAGGAGCACTGCTCTGGGGCAGGCTTGCCTGCTGATTGGCTTCCTGACCTTTGACAAGTGGAGGCTGGGCTGCTGATTGGCCACCTGACCTTTGACAAGTGGAGGCTTGGCTGCTGACTGGCCACCTGACCTTTGACAAGTGGAGGCTTGGCTGCTGATTGGTCACCTGACCTTTGCCCAGCTTCTCTAGACCTTAGCCAACTCGTCTGTAAAACAGGCAGGATCTCCAAGTTCCCGTTCCAGATTGTAGAGGTGTCCCCTCCTGGCTGTCCTTAGTTACACAGATGCATCCACACTGTTCTCTGGCTCGGCCTTGCCCAAGCCCTTGCCCAGCAGCTCACCTCGGGAGGAGGAGAAGGGAGTGGCAGGTGGGTGAGGAGAGGGCTGCCCTTGGAATAAAAGTAATAGGAGGCAGTTTTTTCATGGCTGTTACATCAGCAAATCTTTTCACTCTAAATCTTCTCATCGTGTGTAACGTTTATCTCTGGCACCAAGAAAAGGCAAAACAGGGTCTGAGCCATATAGATGTGTAGAGAAAGAACTTTCTGAAATACCAGATTCTAATGGGCACTAAAATTGAGACTTTATTTTTTAACTTTTCATCAAAATCCTCTGTAGTGGTAATTAAATGGCTATTAATAAGCAATTGGTGGTAAAAGGAAAGTTGTTAGCCACATGAATCAATTTTACATGAAGGAGCCTAACATGCCAGAGAAAAACGTTTGTCGGTTTTCACGTGGAGCACCAGTTTTTCCGTGAGAGAAGTTGTCAGGTTTATATAAGAATACTCCCGAGAATTTATCATTTTCTGAGGACAATGTTCTGATTGTGTGAGGTGTTTTAACACGGAGTGGTGGAACCACACAGGCCTGAGGTCAGGTCCAGTGTGGTGGTCTCTGGAAATTCTGTAAGCTCTGTGGGTCTCATTTTCCTTAACTGTAAAATGGGGATAGTCGAAGCCTCTTCATCAGATTGTTCTGAGTATTAAATGAAGTGATGCAGGCCTACTGTTTAAGACAGTGCCTGGCACATGAGGGCTTAACTAAAAAATGCTTTGTTATCATTGTCATTGCCATCAACGTTATTATTGATTAGAATTTCCATAAAACATTGAAAGCCTGAAGTAGGTGGATGAGACTGTAAAGGGAGTGGATGTGGAATGTGTTAACTCTGCCGTATAACTTTTACATAGAGTGTTTTCATGTCTCTTTTTTCGTAATAGGAATGAATTCTTCCAAAACCAAACTAGAACTCCAGAAGCACCTGACGACATTAACTAATCAAGAGCAAGCCACTATTTTTGAGGAAGTTCAGGTACAGTACTAGTGTTTTGTTTTTTTTTTTCCTTCCCAAAGCCCCAGTGCATGGTTGTATATCCTAGTTGTAAATCCTTCTAGTTCTTCTATGTGAGCTGCCGCCACAGCATGGCTACTGACAGACGGCTGATGTGATTCTGCAACTGGGAAGCAAACCCCGGCAGCTGAACTTTAACCACTAGGCCATCAGGGCTGGCTCATGGTACTAGTTTTTAATTTCTATAAGGAGCGAAAAGGCAGGCAGCTTACTGTGAAATGTTATTTATAAAAAATAGCAAACCAGAGCATTCACAGCCCCGAGTTCCTCTTTAATAAGCTTTAACAGCCCCACAGAGGCTGCAGATCCACCTCAGGTCTTGGTTTTCATGGTGAAAGCAACTAAACCAGGGAAGCTGTCCCTTAAAAAACATTTTTAGAATGAGAGAAAGGAAATTATAAAGTGGAAAGAGCCTCAGCCTGGGAGACAGGAGTCCTGGACTTGGGTCCCCTGCACTCCTCTGCTCCAGGGAAAACCTCTGCCAGCCCCTGCCTGCTCGCGAGTTCAGCCCTGAGTGCGGGAGTCGAAGGAGGTGCTGTTGTTTTGTACATGAAATTGAATGTTAATTGTTCCTCCTCTCTTTTAGTTCTTTTTTCAGTTTGAAAATAAATTTAGATGATAAATTTATCTACTTAGAGCTGTATAATCTATGAAACCTAAACGTAAAAACAAAATACAAAACAAAAACCAAGCTCATTGGCTTTCTGCGTTCAACCTGGAAGCTCGCGCTTGTCCCTGCAGTGAGATGCAGCGTATCTCGGGGAGACTGTGCTGCATGTGCTGGCATGCCTGTAGTCTGTTCATTATGAATCTTTAATGAGCTCATCAAAAATTTCATGTCTGCTTTAGCCGAGGGGCATTTTCTATGGTTTCCTGGCACTTTTCTAGGGAGGAGAGCACAGCAGAACAAAGAATAAATCTCTCTGTTTTGGGGGGAGGAAAGCGGCAGGGGTCCTTCAAGTAGAGGAGTCATTAAACTGAACAAGAAGGCCAGCCAGTCTGCATTGTAAGTTCTCTCTCCCTCCTTGTTGGGGGAAAGACTGTACAGATGGGGCCCATGATCTGTTTTCTGTTAGTGTGGAAAATTAAAGGATTGTCTTTTTCTTTTTCAGCACATGCTAGAGTTTTTAATTTCATAAATAGCTCAGAATGTAATTTTCACAATTTCTAATTGCCTTTAAATTTTCTTGTTTCCTTCCACATCAACTTGAGACACACTATTTTTTCTTAAAAGATCTTTAGAGTTCTAAGTACACAGTACCCTCAGACAAATTTAATGTTGTTTGTACTTGGAATTCACGAGCGGATGGGCAATTTGCTTCTGATTATTAATGTGTTTACAGTGGAAGCTGGGCCTTTGTCATCTGATGCCAGCCTGCTTGCTGTTTTAGTGCAGTCAAGTCACTTTTGGTAATGTCTCTCTAGTGAGCGTAGAAGATGCGCATTCCTCCCCTAATGTGAGTTTTCTTTTTTATTTAGACGGCACTGTGTACTTTCCCCAAAACAGCGTGATGACTCAGAATAGGTAATACGCAAAACGTTCCTGTGCAGCAATGAGAAGTTCCTAATGGGTGTGTTTCTGAGCTTCTCTTTGACCCATGCCAGTTTTTAGACACTCAATACATTATGGCAAAAAGACTTGAGAGAAAAGTGGTGGGTGACACAGCTTTATTTAAAAAACAAATGCATTCAGTTAATATCCTGGGACCCCTATGTGTTGTTCCATAAGGCTCTGTAATTTTTTGATTGGTTTCAAGACCAAAAAGAAGTCACTGGGTTTGAAAGCCGTCTCATACTTTGTCCTCAATCATTGTAAGCCCAGCTCTTCCTTGAATGATACGAATTTGACATGGATCTCTTCTTCTAATGGCTTATTGATATTCTTGGTAACTTATTTCCTCAATGATCATTCTTGGTTTTTATAAAACATTTTATAAACCAAATCACTGATTTTTTTTTAAGTAGTCGTGCCTGCTACTGTGTTTGAAAATCGTATATTTCAAAAAGATCATAAAGAAAAAGGTGGCTTTGCAGTGTCATGAGTCCTTTTGTAAATAGAATGATTAATATTTTCCTTTATACAGTCTTTCCTGGAGAGGAATTTGTTTCTGAAGAACTCTCCAAGGGCAAATTTTCGTAAGACAAATGTAATTACCATTGAAATTAATGGTACATGATTACTTAAATAGTTATGAAAGCATACATAATCATTGTTTTTGTAAATAAATGTTTAATACAAAAAGTGCAATCCAAACAGCCACCAAGAAAGAGAAATCAGTAATTACTATGCATGTGGTGCTGGAGATGATGACTGCTGCAAACAAGCCGACTTAGAGCGCTCGGAGCGGAGCACTAAGTGCCAGGTGGGCACGCGGGCCTGTTAACCCTTCTCTTTGTAAGAGGACTCATGACGCTGTAAAGCCCCTTTGTTATGACCTTTTTGAAACGTATAATTTTCACACATCTGTAACTGGGCATATGTGAAGATGACCTGCAGAGTCTTGCTCTCTTCTCCAGCTGCTCTGTTGCTGGCTGAGTTGCCAAATCCAAACTGGTCATCCTTAGTGTAAAAAATTGCTTTCAAGCCAAAGTAGGGCTAGTAAAGAAAATGTCTCCAAATCTAATTCCCTTCCTCTGAATGAGTGTATTTCAGGGAATGACTTAATTAATGCTGAGTAGGTAAATCAAGGAGATTTATACTCAATACGTGTCGATAATGGATTAAAAAACATGACTTTTCTCAAGTTAAAGATTAGTGGTCAGAGGAGCTTTTTTTTCACTTTGTAAAGAATATATATCAATTTAGTTGGATTTTCCATGGTTTTAAAACTGTTATAAGATTTGATTATAATAATTTTTTTAAAATGTCAGAATGTAGTGTCCAATGAGCATTGCCATTTTAGGTAGTTTCCTCAGAAGACTGTAGACTTTCTCAGCATTCTGATATTATTCATTAGTCAGTGTTGGGACATTTATTTTTGAATTACTTTTCAACCAATTTATAGGCCCCTTCATAGAAATGAAGTTAAGAAACATAACAAAACTGGCTTTGTTATTGTTAACAGGCAGTTGTGTTTTTTTAATGAAATATACCTATAGAAAAGCACATAGATCAGTGGTGTGTAATGCAATGAATTTTTGTAAGATGAATACACCTGTGCAGCCAGCACCAAGATTAAGAAATAGAGCATTTCCATTCCCGCAGAACCCCCCTCAGGTAACCACGATCCTGGCATCTGACACTGTAGATGAATTTTGAATAAGCAAGGTAATTTTTGACTGCAAAGTGGTGTTATCCAACTTGATTTCCCATTATTTTCTTCAGACTTGTCTCTCTGACTAATGAATGTTTATAAAGTTAAATCCACTTGAGGAAATAATGGTTTGCCACTATGGAAAATGGTGAAGTCCCAAATACCTATGGGAGGTATTAAGGAGATAACACCTTGCTAATCATTTTGAACTTAATGCAAGAGAAGCCCCTAATCATGTTTCATTTATTTTAAGGAAGGATTTCTTGACCGTGCATAACACCATGAACATGGATTTCTTGGCTTTGGTGACTTTCCTCTGTGATGTTTAATGAGCTCCATGGCGCAGTCTCTGGTTCTCAGCGTCAGATTCCAATGGGCGGCACCTGTGGTAGTAATGGTGCTCAGTGCTAGTCTCATTTTCTATTTGAATAGCTTCTTTCATGTATATTTTGAGGAAAAGAAAAATGTATTAATGCTTCTTGTTACTGCATTCTTAGCCTTTTTTGATATTTTGAAATAAGCAATCATGAAGAATTTCTCCAAGAAAAAAATACACATTTTCTCATGAGAGCAGCCCAAAGGTTTAATTAAAGATACAGGAGAAGAAAGAATGAGTCAACCCTTGGGTGCCTGCGCCTGCTCAGAAGCATCTCGTGGTTCCTGTCTGCTCCTCTTTTCCTGGACTTTTTTAAAAACAGACTTTATTTTTTAGAGTAGTTTTAGTTTTACAGAAAAAGTGGGTGGAAAGTACAGTGAGTTCTAACCTCTCATGCCCCCTCCCCTAGCCAGTTTCCCCTATTATTAACATCTTGCATTAGTATGGTACATTTGTTACAGTTGATGAGCCAATATTGATACATTGTTATTAACTAAAGTCCATACTTTACTTTACGGTTCACTCTTGGTGGTGTACATTCTAGGGTTCTGACAAATATGGTGGCATGTATCCACCATTATAGTATCACACAGAATTGTTTCACTGTCCTAAAAATCCTCTATGTTCCACCTGTTCATCCCTCCTTCCGCTTCTGACCCCCAGGCAGCCATTGATCATTTACTGTCTTCCATTTTGCTTTTTCCAGAATGTCATATAGTTGGAATCATGCAGTACGTAGCCTTGTTAGATTGGCGTCTTTCACTTAATAATATGCATTTAAGTTCCTCCATGTCTTTTCATGGCTTGATAGCTCTTTTCTTTTCAGTGCTGAATAATAATTCATTCCATTGCCTGGATGTACCACAATTTGTTTATTCATTCACCTGTTGAAGGACATCTGGGTTGCTTCAACGTTTTGGCAATTACAAATAAAGTTACCGTAAACATTCGTGTGCAGGTTTTTGTGGGGATATATATTTTCAACTCATTTGGGTAAATACTAAGCAGTACTATTGCTGAATCGCATGGTAAGAGCATGGTTAGTTTTGTAAGAAGCTGCCAAAAGGGGCTCCCAAAGTGGCTATACCATTTCACATTCCCACCAGCGGCGAATGAGAGTTCCTATTGCCTCCTGGGCTTTTAGGCTCCAGTATATCGATAACCTTCTTGGGGTCAGCAGTATTGAGTTGGGATGTGGTACTTGACTACCACTTTCCTTGTTTGAAGATCTGATGGGAACTTTCTCTGGAAAATATCCACTTGTTGCATAAAACATGTAAAATTTTGTGACATCAAGGTTCATGGCTTGGAATCCAGTTTGAGAGTATCTGCTCTAGCTTCTAAAATATTTAATCCTTAAATCTGAAATTTGAAAGAACACAAAGTCCTCAGTGAAAACAACCCCTTCTGGTCGTTTACTATCTTTTCCTTGAGTGACAGGAACAACTTGTCATTTAAAATGATCTTTTTCCTTAAGAGAGGGAATGTCAGAAGGTCTGGGTTAGTGTAACCTTTGCTTCTAAAGTCTGTGACTTGGAGAGTAAAATCATTGTTCCGCGGTTAGCTGGGGAAGAAGGTTACCAAGAGCAGCATTGACCCAGACTCAGATGCTTGTACAGTTGGTTCGTTTATTCCACCCTTTGTTTTAAGGGGCAGGCTAGAAGTTTGGAGTAGGGAGAAAGGAGGAGCAGGACAGTGGATAATTGTCGGTATTTTGGATATATTTCCAAAGTTTGTAGACTAGAAGCTTTGTGTATCTCCAGAGTAATTCAGTTTTGTTTTCTTCATATTCAGAGAAAATAATACATTAAATTAGATGATCTTCTGCAAGTGAGCTCTGATAATTCAAAGACGAAGACTTTGGGGTTTGGAGGCAACCTTGGAGTTCACTTTGTGTATGATCTTCATTTGAACAGATGAGGAAGCTAAGATTAAATGACTTGCTTTGGTCACACTTTGAGGCAGCACTTAGAACCAACACGTCCTGATTTCTGGTCCAGTATGCTTTGACGCTACCCTGCCTGAAAAATAAAAGGCATAGAGAGAATTGTTTTAAAAAAGAAAAAAAAAACCATTAAGGCCATGCCATGAGATTTTGTGTGCAAGTACATGCATCATGGGACTTCCAGAAAGTGCTTCATGACAGACACATTCAACATGTGGAACCGTGACCCTGAGTCCAGTTGCTATTTTCCTGTCCAGCTCCCTAACCGTGAGAGTTTATGAATGTGTAGCCATTCTGGCTCTTGACCTCTGCGTGTTTACATAGATTTTGTTCTTTTCTTCTGTTTTCAAGACTATTTATTTACTAAATATTTTGACTATGCCTCTATCTGATGTGAAATGTTTTTTTTAAGTATAAGGACAGCAGAGGTCAAAAGCGAAATCTGGCCTACTGGCTCTGCTCTCTGTCCCTTTTTAAAAATTGTCCCCAGTTTTAGGAACATTGGTGCCTCCTAGTGAGATAATTGGGTAAAAGCACTAGTTAATGGATGGATGAAAGCTGTTAGAGTTTCTAAAGGGGCGGTTTAGCAGTTTTGTTGACAATTAAAAATAAATGTAATATAGTTTGCTTTTTTTTTTTTTTTTTTTAAGAAATTGAGACCAAGAAATGAGCAGCGAGAGAATGAATTGATTATTTCTTTCCTGAGATGTTTATATGAAGAGAAACAGAAAGTTCACAGCCATACTGGAGAGACAAAGCAGGTATTGTATTTTTGTCTTTTATAATTTTTCCAGGACGCTAATTAAAACAGAGTCCTGGGAATTTTCTGAAGCTCTGAATCCTCTCTTTCTCTGTGTATTTTCTTTTCATTTGTTACACATATAGGGAAGATTTGGGAATATTTAGATTGTGCTCAGAGAAGGTGAGAAATTCCTGTCTGCATTGTGGTGGGGTTGGAGCAGTTGCTCTGATGAGAGGACTGGTGTGGAGCATCAAGAAAGAAGTTTAAGCAACTAGACTTTTGGTGGTGAACATGATGCAGTCTATACAGAAGTTGAAATATGCTCCTGAAATTTATATAATTTTTAAACCAGTGTGACCTCAATAAAAAAAAAGGGTAATTCTGTGAGGTCAAAAAAAAAAAAGAATGAAGTTGAAGAGTAGATACTGCAGGGACAAGCTACTTGACCTGCTGGTAGCCTGTCTCTGTCACCTCACCTTTATCCCTGGTAAAATGGGAGTGACATTTTATAGCTGCCTTCAGAGTTACGTAAAGTCCCTGGAAATCCTTTATAGTATAAATGCTATGCAAATATAAGATAGCACTACTGACAAATCAGATGCAATGTTAAAGCAGCTGGTTTATGTGCTATTCAGATATAGAACTTCCATTAATTCCTGCCATCCTCTACTGTCCGCAAGCTTTATTTAGCTTCTCTGTTTTTGGCGGGGGGGCTATGTCGGAAGCTGGGGCCACTTGCAGGCCTCTGTCTTTGAAGAGCTTCGAGTTTGGGATTCAGTACACACGGTGCCAAGGACAATTTTCCGATGTCTTTTGGACTCTAAGTCGATTCATAATAACCATTATAGCTTCAAAACATATGCATTTTATATTTGCTTAAGTTACTTGTAGGCCAGAAAATCTAGAGAAAAATCAGTGAAGGATGTTGAAAAAATCCTTAATTTTTCAAAAGCGTATTGCCTTTTTTTAAGAAAACAGTTAATGAATGCTTGTTCTAAAGGTGCTTTACTGCTCAGTCATGTGCTTGCTCTCTTCCCTGCACACAGCCTGTGCTGTGCTGGTGACCTCACCATGGTGTACTTTTACTCGATACTCTCATAGCAGCTCTCCCCATCTGATTTCTACCTTCCAGTTGGCTTTGGCAATCATGCACCTTTCCTGAACTCTTAAAGCTCATGTACAGTGTCTGACGTTGCTTTCAGTCTCATTGGCCAACGCCAGGGTCCCTTAGCAGTGACCCTACACCAGGATACTGTCTGTGTTGCTGGCCTTTGGCTTTTGTGTGTTGGCATTCCTGCCTTCTCAGCCTGTACCTTAAGAGAGCTTGGGAGTTCTGTGCTGCTCCTGTGCACTTTTGGCTGGGCCACCCAGTCTGAGTCTTCAGTTAATTCTCTAGTTCACTTTCCAAACTATTTCTTTTCTTATTTCCATTCCATTTTTTTTTCTTTTATGCTACTAGTAGTTTTTCCCTGTTCTGATTTTTTTCCTAACTTGTTCCAACAGGAAATTGATAATTTTTAAATAATTTATAACTGCTAGAGGGGAATGAAGCATTTATGGTGGATGGAAAGTTTTGATCTAAGTGCAGACTCACTTGTATGGAACAAGGTAGTATCTTTGTGATTTGGGCATAGATTAGTCCAACGGAGAAATATATTTAATGGTTTTTTTCATTTGAAAACATCAGAGAATTAAATGTAAGAGAGACCGAGCCTCACGAAGCAGGACTGGCATCTAGGCAGCACTTTCTCTAGAGATTTCTAAACATTCTCTTACCCGGGAGGCTTGTGTCTTTGCCTTTAAAGCATTGCCCTGATCCCCAGATGTGGTTGGGTGTCCCCGGGCTGGACACCCTCTCAGGCTCTGAGGATCAGCCTTTTCAGAGCAGCAGCCGCTTTATAGATCCATCAAGTGGAGCTTTGAGATTCGCCAATAGGTTCCTGTTCTCATTTTCTGCTACCAAATAGTTGAACCACATGGACTTCATTACCTTCTTGTTGTACCTAACAATTCCTGTAGCCTTTGAAAATGTGTTATGATTTGACCTAGAGAGAGGTAGAACCATGGCTGTGACGATGAACTTCTCTGGCCACCAGCCTTCAAAAGTGGACAGAAGACAATGAGCACAGACTCAGGGCTGTGCTCCTCAGAGGCAGTGGTGACACCGTACTTGCTTTTCAAAGACTGAGATGGTAGTTGGATAGCTGTCGGAGGAAGCATTTTCATGAAGTAGAAAACAACTGAATGAATCCTTTGATCTTATGGAAAAGGATTCTCTTTGGGCAAAGACCTATAAATTAATAAAGTTAGAGGGTGTCATGTTTTAGTTGTGACACTCAGGATGGTGGGTTCTGAACTGAGAACTTCAGTGTAGCATCAGAATTTAAAACTTGGCTCCAAACTTTCATGCTTAGAGTTCACCCATCTGTTGTGGGATGGGTAATATGACGACTGCAGTACAATTCACCCTAGAGCCCCAAATTAGAAACTTGTCCAAGAACGAGCATCATCTTCAAAGGAGAACCTTCTAGATGCTTATTTTAAAATAAACAAGAAATATGTTATTTTCTAAACACTATTTTCTAAACATGAGTTATTTTCAAATTATATTTGAATTTTGATGATAGACATAGAATCTTACTGGATGGTAGAGGAGAGCACAGGAAGCATTGATTTAAGTGTACAGAGATTCTTATGGTTTGGTTTAAAAAAAATACAAGTGCAGTTTTTCTTCTCTGTAGGATCTACCACGTAATACTAGTCTTTTAGCCAATATTTTCTTTAAATATCAAAATGATCAGTTCAGAATGCTCTATTTTATGAAAACTTGTTATGAGTTTGAAAGCAAATCCATAGCTTCTTTGAGTGAACTGGCATTGGGTCAAAGACAGGGCCCTGAGGGCCCTTTGTGGGCAATTTCTTTGCTCTGGAGGCTGCCTTGAGTCTGGACAGGCTCTTATTCTTGGTAAATGATTGCAGAGGACCACTTGCAACTAGTAAGGCAACTACTTATGGTGCGTAAGGTTTAGCAGGCACTCAGTCGACACTTGTTGAGTGAGTCTGTTACTTCAGTCTCATGTTTCCATGGGCCTACCTGGTGATCATTACTCATTCTCTCATTCTTCAGCAAGCAAGTGTTAAGTGTCCAGAGTATGCTCAGTATACTCTGTGAAAACACAAAGATACATGATAGTCTCCCTTCTTGAAGTTCTAAGCTAAGTCATTCTTTTAGTGCATGTTCTAATTCTCATAGAAATAAAACTCTGGATAACTAGACAAAGCCGAACGTAGCTCTCATCAGAACCTTTGTCTTTTATGCCTTGAAAAATGTATAACGTTCATTGGTGAATTAGAATTTCATTATTTCCAAGAAGATGTAAGGTCTTTGATGAGCAAATAACTGAATAAAATAAAAAAATGCTGAATTGTAATAGGAAGCAGGGAAAGACAAATTAAGAGACCATCTGTACCCATGAGATTGGCAGAAATTTAAAAACTTGGCAATACCATGTAAAGGTGAGCTCTCGTATGCTGATACTGGGAAAATGAATTGGTATTAGTTAGGGGAGAGAAATTGGACAGCAGAAGATGCACAGACCCAGTGATCCAGTGACCCAGTAGGAACGTTCCTAGTTACTTACCTTGCAGACACTTTCACACGTGTGATAAGGAGCAATGTATGAGAGAGGTTACTGCAGTCTCCTTTGTAAAAGCAGGAAAAGAGAATCATGTTTAACAACAGGAACATGAATAAATTGTGTTAGAATCATATAGTAAATATTACACTGTGATTAAAGTGAATCAAATAACATTTTTCAACACTGATAAATCTCAAAAACAACATTGAAAGAAGAAAGCTAATTACAGAAGGAAATGTACAGTATGATACATTCATTTAAAGTTTCAACTGTATGTAAACCAACATATATGTTTTATGGATACATACGTATATATATATAAAGGTGCAAAATTTGAGTTGATAAACACCAAATGCAGGAGAGGGGTTATTTCTGCAGGTGGAGGAAGGAGAGTGGTTCCTGGAAGCTTCAAAGATGTCTGTAATGTTTTCTGTTAAATGTAGAAAGAAATAGAGAGAGTAGCTAATAATCATGATAGCTGACATTTATCGAGTGTCAGGTATGTTCTAAGAGCCTTAATATGTATCCATTTAAATCTCATAACTGCTCTGTGAGGAAAGTTCGTTATGTGTCCTCAGTCTGAAGGTGGAGGAACTTGGAGAGGCAGCAGGTAATAACCTACCCAAGGCCACATAGCCAGGGAGCAGCAAGGAAGTACCTCACCTGGGCACTGAGCTCTAGAGCCTGTGTTCCCCACTGCTCTCAACACCTGCAAAATGTTAGCTTGGCCAAAGTGGGGGGCTGGGGTGCACAATATGTAACAACAAATAGTAGTCAGTGTTTACAGTAATGGGGGATGTATGTGTTTGTGTGTTTTTCTAACAAAATCATCATCTAGCAGGAAGCAATCAGGTAAGAATCCATAGAAGTAAGAGGCAATTTAATCTAGAGGGTTTTTGTAGTTTTTTCCCCATAAACATACCTCTTTGTTAATTAATGACATTAAACTTCATTTAGTGGTTGGCAAACAAACTCCATTATGTTGTCAGGCTCATATTATGGTCAGTTCAGTGAGAGAAGCTTGGTTGCAGACGAGAATGAAAGGGATGTTAGAACAATAGGTGGGAGAGAGGAACAAGTGGAGAAGACAGCTCTATAGAAAGGGATGAAGTGATTAGTATAGGCAGAGAGAATGGATTCTTCAGTGGATAAATTTATTTTGTTTCAGCCTCTGAAATGCCCTGAAAGGTAAGTTACTACTTTACTTTGAAAATCTAATCACAGCTACCTTTGTACCAGAAGCCGTGCCCGATGCTTTACCTGTTTTAATCTCACAACACAGCATTATGATTAGATCTTGAGGTTGGTCTCAATTTACAGAAGAGGAAATTGCAGCTCAATGAAAGTAAGTAACTTGTATAAGGCCATAGTTAGTAAATGACAGATCTGTGATCCAGCTGCAGAGCCCGAGCTCTGAACTGCCTTGTTAACTGGTTGGTTTCTAAGCACATTTCCTCCTTTTGTTGGAGTAGGCAAAGCAACTCTTTGAGGCAAAATTATTTCCTGGACTTGCAGCCATGTCACCCAGGAGGAGATGAGATGAGGTCACAGAAAGAATTAGAATAATGGCCTCAGGTTAAAAAGATGCATCCTAGAGATTTTTCAGTCCTTTAAAAAGGAAGAAGGAGGAAGGAGGGAAGGAAGCTGTAAGTGACTTAACTTTTCATTGTTTCACTTTTTAGACATCACAGATTGCAGCAGAGAATATTGGAAGTGAAATAGCACCTAGTGCCACTCGATTTAGGCTAGATATGCTGAAAAACAAAGCAAAGAGATCTTTAACAGAGTCTTTAGAAAGTATTTTGTCCCGGGTAAGTAGCATAATTTCTCCTAATTTGAGTTAAAGCACTTTTTAAGAGAGCATGAGATTCAATTCTTTGCTTTTATTCCATCAGTGTTCATCATAAAATATAGAAGGGTACAACCTTTTTTAATATCTTCTTAGTCTTGGAACAATGTTATCTACACATAAAATTCAGATTTTAACTTGGCCTGGGTTAGAAAAAATTCTCCATTCTTTTGTATTATGTTATATCCCGTGGAATTTTTTGTCTCCCAAAAGAATGTTATTCGTTGGCCAGTCCTATAAAGAGCACAGTTAACACACCAAAGCGTGGGTTCCGTTCTCCCTAGTGTCACTAAGTACAACTTAAAAATCCAGTTACTGCTGACGTGTCTGGAACCCTCTATAGCAGGAGTCAGCAAACTACAGTTCTTGGGCCATGTCCCAGGCCACTTCCTATTTCTGTAAATAAAGTTTTATTGAAATGCAACCACATCAATTCATTCGCCTGTCGTCTAAGGCTGCTTTTTTGCAGAGTTGAGTAGTTGTTACAGACACTATATGGCCCACAAAGCATAAGAGGTTTATTATCTGGCCCTTTACAGAAAAAGTTTGTGGCCTGCAGCTCTATAGGAAGAATAAAGTATACGTATACATCAATCTGGGAGATATTTAAAAAATTACTCCCCCCCACCCCCCACCATGAGTGTAAAGACTTTTGATGGCACTTTTAAGAAATGAAAGTTCTATTTTGTTTCAGTTTCACACCTTTCTGGAACTTGCAATATCTTTGTATAGTTCTTTTTGATTTCTTGACACACTCCATTTGAAAGATACTTTTTTTAAAAGAAAGTTAAATTGTATTTTCTTTGAAGATGTTTCCAAGAATTTTGCAGCATCCTTACAGATAATTAAAAACAGTTCATTTACAAAACCAGGGTTGGGAGGGGCTGCCTTTGCGAGTTTCCAAATGGATAGAATGTTGTTTGCGTGTCACGCAGCTGACGGGTTTATGGTGACTTGTGACTCGAGAGACGGTCGTTGAATACGCTTACTTTAGCACTTGCTTTTCTTCATAGACGAATTGTCTCTTTTTCCTGCCTATCATCCCCGCCAAATGACTAATCTACAAGGTGTTTTGGAACATTTAGGTTCGTGTGTTATTAAAAAAAAGAAAAGGATATCAGAAATGTTGATTGTCTTTATGTGCTCAGCAGCATTTCTCAGTAGTTGCATTTTTCATGAGCTTATTTAAATAGACCAAGCTGCTTCTAGCTGATGCCTTTGCATAAGCCTCAGGGGTTATAACTTGACTGCCTTTTCTTTATGTAGGGTAATAAAGCCAGAAGCCTACAGGAACATGCCGCCAGTCTGGATCTGGACAGCTCCATGTCTAGCACATTAAGTAACACCAGCAAAGTAAGCAAATTTTTCTTTATATGACACCCTGAAGAAACCAGCAAATGGGTCTTGTTCCTTTCCTATCTACAGAGCCTATCAAAAGCAACAAAAGAAGGCTCATCTCTCCAATCATGAAAAGTTTGGTGCGTCCAGACTTCTTAGTGCAGATGGAGGGCTGGTCATGCAGTTCTACTATAACATAAAAGTTTTACATAACAAAGCAGATGACCATTCCACAAGCAAAGAAACAAGATCACAATTTTAGACCACTGAGATCTAATTTATTGCAAGGCTACCAATAGATTTTTTTCTCAAGTAGATTTTCCAATGTTAAAAATAATTGAAATTGGGGAAGTCTTAAAAGTGAGTTTGTAATTCCGAGAAGCATGCAATTTCCTGAACTTACTTTGTTCTCTAGTTAGCTCTATGATTATAATTAAACGTTACTGTTCTTATAAATAAGCAACTAAGCTTCACCCTCGCCTCTGCCCCCAAGCACAGCTTTGTGATAAGGAGCAAGCCAGCCGTTCTCTTTGGGAACAAACCTGTGTCTATGTCTTTGTTTTAATTTCTTGCTTTCTAGGCATTTAAGCATATTTAAACATGGTTAGTTCAAGTTTTTAACCACGAAAAAGTGGATTTGGGGTTTTGTGCTGGAAAGGTCAGCTTTCCTTCTGCTACCAGAGCGCCCTCAGATGCAGGAGAGAGGAAGTGTTTGTGGAGGCCAGCTCCCTACCATAGGAACTCTAAATTCTTCTGCGATCTCTCCTGGGTGTGAGGACTTCAGAGTTTTTAGACCATAACCAACAGTAAGAAACACATTTAACATTGTGAAATGGTTCACAAACACACATACATACACACACACACACAAAATAAAATAAAATTTCACAGAACGGTATTTACTATAGACTGCATGTGATACATAATGGTATTTTCTGTTCTCTTTCACTTAAAAAATGTTCATGGAAAGCCATTAAATTGATATCACTACCTACTGATGTGTTACATTCTACAATTTGAGACATACTGTCTAAGATGAGTGCTTCTCAAATTCTAGGTGCATCTTTAATGGGGTTCTGGTTAAAGTGCAGCTTCTGATTCAGTAGGCCTTGGGTGAGGCCTGAAATGCTGAATTTCTGACAAGCTCCAAGGTGATGTTGATGCTGCTCATCTGTGGACCCACTTTGGGGAGTGAGGCACTAGACACCAGGCTTCTGAATGTGATTTTCTAAGTTAAAATCTAGTGGAACGTAGCATCATCTATTACATACTGGCTCTACCCCACAGTTCAGATGAATAGGACAGAGCCCCTGCCCTATAGGAACTTAGCCTGTAGGAGAGAGATGACAGTACTCAGATATCACCAGCATCAAGTAGAGTGTGGTAGGAGCCCTGAGGGTTCGAAGAAGAGGCGGTGGCAACTTAGCAGTCACAGGAGCAGGGGGAAGGGAAGTTATTTTTGGTCAGTGCAACCAGAGAAAACTTGGGGAGGGAGGCAACAGTGCTTTTGAATTGAATCTTGAAGAAAGTGTACGAATTGTAGCTGTGGAAGTAGACAGGGAAGAAGGGGTTCCAGATAGATGGGTGTGAATAGAGATACTGTAGGAAATTCATGTCGCTCGAGTGACTTTTCCAGTAAGTCTTTATTGCTTTTTAAAAAATTCTTCTCCAAAACACAGATCTAAGAATATACATATAGCTTGAATTTCTAGGGTAATTCTAAGAGAAATGCAACTTTTCAGAAGCCACCTGTTTGTATTGTATGTGTATCTTTATGTGCACTTCTTTACATCTTTTTTTCGTCCTGAGATTGACAAACTGTTGTAAAGGTATGCTTCTTATGTAATTGGATCTCTTCCAATAAATTAATCATCTAGGAGTTACAAGGAAGCTGAATGTCAGAGTGGCCCTTTTAGGTGTAAGATTAAGCTATGGGTTACCTCTTTTACATAACTTGGAAGGATGGTAATGAGAATTGAGATGAACAGGTTTACGTGATGGAGATTGTTTGCTGTGGTGCATTGTCTTAGACAATTTTTAAATCCTTAAAAGAGTCTTTGGAGCTGTAGAGTCCCGAAGAATGAAGAATTTCAGTTATGTTTAAAGTAATTAACATTTCATAGTATGTTGGGAATTAAGCTTTTCCTATCTAATTCCTACAAAATTAAGTGTGTATAACCTCTTCCCTCAATAAACATAAATTTATTTTTTAATTAAAGTCCTTAATACCTATCATCTAAAAGGCACTCAACTATATATCAAATAACAGAATTTAGATTCTCTAGTCCACCATTAGCTGCATTTATTCCTTTTTACTCTTTTCATGTGGATTTATTCCTCCCTTCTAGCAATTTCAGGAGGGACAAGCTGGTACATTTTCTCTTATTTTGTATTTTTTGATTTGAGAAAAATATATTGGTCACCACCCATTTCCTGGGTGTGCAGTGCTGTGCATCAGTGTGCATGAGTGATAGCAGTACACTTCTTTGAAACAGTACGCATCTTGAAAGCCTACAATGTTAAGTTCTTGTCATGATTCTCAACAAATGTTTGAGTACCCACTCAGTAAATTCATTGAGTATCTAATAAAACAATAACTAATATTTGTATAATATTTTACGGTCAACAGAGTACTTTCAGTTGTCTTATCTTGCTTAATTCTGAAACCCAGGGAGATAAATTTTCACTATCCTCTTTTACAGATGAGGAAATTGAGGTACAGGAAGAAGTTAAGTGACTTGCCCTGAATCATGGCAATAAGTACCTAGAGAGAGATTTTCCATGTTCTAAGAATAGTATAGGATACAATTTTTAACCCTCAAAATTACCAAGTTAAATCTCAACATTAGGTCAAATTCAGATAGAGCCTTAAAATGTGGGTATAACTTGTGTGGACACAGCTGGCAGAGAGACAGACTTCTTGATGTGTTTAAACAGTGCAGACAAGTTACACAACCCTCATCACCCTTCTTACGAGCAGTAGTAGAGAGTGCTGTTTTCTAGAGAGGGAACTATTTTGGTTTTGCTTAGAACTGTTACGTGCCCTCGCTTAGTCCTTCTCACTTGCATTTGGGCATTTTCCCCATTCATCCAGCAAACTAGCATTTTGTCTCTGACAAGCAGGCATTTAAAATGGGCCTTCATTTCCTTATTTTTTTGGTGGCCTCTAGATGGCATTATGATCAGATGTGTGTCTTTGAAATGTTTTCCTGCCCCTGGGATTAGAGATTTGTAAATCTCACATGTTCCCTGTGCTATGTCTGATCTGCTGTCTCTTTGCTGCCAGGAGCCATCTGTGTGTGAAAAGGAGACCTTGCCCGTTTCCCAGAGCTCCTTCAGGCTCCTCGGCTCCTCGGATGACCTGTCCAGTGACTCGGAGAGCCATCCCTCGGAAGAGCTAGCCCCACTCTCACCCCAGCAAGGCTTCAGAAGGCGTGCAAACACCCTGAGTCATTTCCCTGTGGAATGCCAGGACCCTCCTGAACCTGCACAGGGGTCTCCGGGGGTCTCGCAAAGAAAACTTACGAGGTATCACTCAGTGAGCACAGAGACGCCTCATGAACGAAAGTAAGATTTGTTTAAAATGTAAATTTGTTGTATAATAGCTGGGGCATATGGGTTACTAACCAGGTATGTGCATCCCAGGTATGATTATTGGATGAAAGTGAAACCTGAATCAGGTTTAACTTGGCTAAAAAGTTTCCCCACTTTCCTCCCGTGGGGAATATGTAGATGTAAGAGCTACTTGTTACTTATTCGAGTAACAGGTGCAAGTATTATGAGGAAGCAGGTAAAACTGAGCAGAAATAGCCCTTAAAATGTATAATAATCACTCTTCAAACAGTATGAGAGGCAGTATTGACTTGGGGACTTAGCTGCTGGCTTTGAGGAAAAGTAGCGAGTAGGCGGGCAGGTGAGTCTGCTCATTTGAAACCTGGAACATTCCTGCGGTGGGGCGGAGATGTGTGATCAGTACTGAGCAGAGCATGAGAGGTAACATGGACGCCTGTGCCAGACGCAGCAGCCTTGGGTTCTGGTCCTAGCTCTGTCCTGAACTGCTTGTTTCCTGGGCAAATTTGCTTAACTTCTCTGTATGACAGAATTGGAATAGATATTTTCTAAAATCTCATTCAATGTGAGAATTCTAGATTCTTCCAATAAGATTTACTAATTTTAATAATTGGGCTCTAATGAGCAGTTGGAATTTCCTGGTTGTAGAGATGGGTAAGCAATATAGTAGCAGAAGTTCGCCCAGTTCCGTTATCTTTACAAATAACGTTAAAAATCTTTTATAATACCTCACCTTATAAATATGCAGTAGGGCCACACCTATGCGCAGTCGCTGCCTTGCTCTGACTGGTGACAGCAGAAGCCACAGGATGTGTGTCAGCGCAGGTCATACCTGGATAATGGAGAGTCCATGCGGAGGTGTTTGAAAGGTGTCCAGTGAAGAAGTGACAGTGTCAGTAATCCTCGAACGATGTAGTAGGGCTCTTAGCTCTTTGTTTTCAGTCAGTCATTGAAAATAGCTGTGATGGTTCTTTGGAATTCAGCTGGACGACTGTGATCCGACAGCAGAACGTACTTCAGAAGCTAATATTTAATACTATGACATTTTAGAGACAAGCATATTTGAGGCTTTCTGAGGTTCTTGTCATGTTTCTTAAAACCCTGTATACACGCTACTCCTGTTCAGCCTCTCCACTGTGTTCCCACCCTTCTATTTCTCGGATTTTCAGTGATAACGGAAACCTTCCTGTCTGGAGATGCCTAGTTCTCTTGCTAAGCCAGAGGTGGTAGGAAGTTAGCATCCCTGGCAGTACATTTCCCTTCTTCCCTGAGAAGGCAGCTTCCTCTGATGGATCGTGTGGACATAGGTGATGAGAGGGAGGGAGGGAGAAGGTCTGCCTCCCCAGAGTACCTATTTTGCTTTCTGCCCTCCTTGTGAACTCTTTTCTCATTTACGTACAGGAAATGAGACATTGAAGTTCAAGGCAGGTTATTGTTCGTTTAAAAGAGAGCTGTATTTTAAAAACTCTGGATTTTGTTTTGCTTTCCTTTGCTTTCATTTTAATTAAAAAAAAAATTTTTTTTCCTGTCAGTTCCTAAAAAGGGAATAGAGGAAAAGGTACTCTCGGGTGCATAGACGTGTGGGCAATGATCAAGAATGACCTTTTACAAGGCTTTTTTTTTTTTTTTTTTTTACTGAAAACTGCCTTTGCCAACGAGAGTTGGGATGCAGAAGAGAAGTGAAAAGCCCTCTCGCTCTGTGACGGTTCCTATTGAAATGATGCGACACCCGCAGCCATGTCCATTCTCTCTGTTTCCTCCGTGCTTCCCGCAGTGGTCCCTCTGTCTCTCCCTCTAACCCCTCATGCTTTCTCTCTGATTGCTGTTTAGTGTGGATCATCCGCCTGTTGGCGAGTCTAAAAGTTGCTCAGGTCAGTCTTCAGCTCCTGCTCCTCCAGCTCGTCTTAACCCCTCCGCCTCCTCGCCAAATTTTTTTAAGTACCTAAGACATAACTCAAGTGGAGAACACAGTGGGAATGCTGTGCCAAAGAGGTGAGCACACTCGCACGGCAAGTTCAGTGTCGTCTGTCTTGCTGGGAAATTCACACACAGAAGATGTGCTGAATGGAGGGAAAGTGTGCAGGGAGCCTGGGGCCACTGCTTGCATGTGTGTTTTGTCTGTTTTTGGTTTTATTATTTTCACTCTATCATTTGAACCCACTTAATTTTACTGTTGATTAATTTTCTCAAAATTATTATGAAAACAGATTTTGATGGCAGGCCGTTTTTTATGTACTTATTTTCTCGTTCCCCTGCCGTAGTACGCACACACAGGTTAACAACACTGTGTTTGATCACATACACCACAAGTTGTGCCATGTCAGAATCTTCCTCGTTAATTTAGGAAAGTTATTTTTTCCAGTTTGAAAGGAAGAGTCGTTTTGGAAGATGGACTGATTTTTTTGTTGTTGTTTTGTTTTTATTTTATTCTGTTAAGAATGCTCAACATGAGATCTACTCTCTTAACGAATTTTCAAAGTGCGCAACACAGTATTGTTAACAATAGGCACAATGTACATTGTATGGCAGATCTCTAGAATTTATTCATCTTGCATAACTGATTGAATTGATGTTTTTCAATTACTTCATTGATTCCATTCACTTAAAGTGGAGTTTTAATGACTGAAAATGAAAGTTAAATCTCACTTGTAAACTATTTTTAATTTCTTACTTGGTTTAATTTTCTTAGCATTAAAACTAAAATGTTTCTTTTATTTTGAAGCTTATGTTTTATACTTTGTGTATTTGTGTTTCTTGATCCTAAACTCTTTTTTCAACCAAACTCTCAGCATCTCCTACCGTAATGCCCTGCGGAAAAAACTTCATTCTTCTTCCTCTGTGCCAAATTTTCTAAAATTTCTGGCTCCTGTAGATGAAAATAACACCTCTGACTTTATGAACACAAAAAGGTAGGGTTTAATTTAGATATATCAAGCCTGGGTAGAGTGTTGAATTATTGTTAGATATACAGGGATTTGAAGTCATTTAAAAGAAGAGGTTCTTTTGCCATTTTAAAAATCATTTTAGCTAAATCTATTGTATCTTCTTTCTTATACTTTTTTCTTACTGATTGTCATTTTTAAGAATGTGCAGTCAACCTGTTCTCCATTTTTGACTAGGATTAGTTTATTAATGTGGTGTTATCTTCAGAAGATTAAAGAACGTCTTAACCAGTTCTCTACCAGATAGCAGTCTTTCTGGGTAGTGCATGTGGCTGTCATAGTTAAGTCAGGCTATCTGATCTGTAAGTTTGGATGATTGCTTAGTTGTGGGTATATACTCGAGTGTAAATTAGGGCTTCCCCAAGTTGTCCTGTGAATCGGAAGAAAATTAATGATTAGAGATTATATTTATGTACATTGATAAATATTCTTTGTTTTGTAGTTTTAAAAATACACATGGTTACAACAATCATCCTTGGGGCCATCCCAGTGGCATAGTGGTTAAGTTCGGCACACTCTGCTTTGGCGGCCGAGGGTTTGCAGGTTCCGATCCTGGGTGTGGACCTACACCACTCATCAAGCCGTGCTGTGGCGGCGACCCACATACAAAATAGAGGAAGATGGGCACAGAGGTTAGCTCAGGGCCAATCTTCCTCACCAAAAAAAACCGCAAAAAGACAACCATCAGCAAGTGACCGCATAATTATTGCCTTGATGGTTCTGTGTAATTTAAGTTTTTTCATTTTTTGTGGTGGTCCATGGAGACACAGGCATTTGCTGGAAAAATATTCCCAAACACGTACTAGGGGAGGTGGCGGCCCTGGTGGCAGCGCCCCCTTTTGGCAGTTTCTCTTTTCTGAAGTGGCACCAAGGGAGGCCCAATTGGAAGCTAATGATCTGTGGAGTGTATTTCTTAATATCTTTTACAATAGAAATAAATTAAGGGCATGTGATTTTGCTCTTTTCATGAAAAATATCCTGTAAGAATGCAGTCCTTTCGGAGTGTTGACCCACCGTGAGCCTGATTTGACATTTGTGATTATATAATTATGTTTGCTCATACAGAGATAATTTATAATTTAGTGCTCTGTTAAAAAAAAAAAGTCAAGTTAAAATACCTGTTTATATCTCCCTACCAGTCATAAATTAATTATCTTATAATTTTAGGGACTTTGAATCTGAAGCCAACCATCTCGGCGATGCCAGTGGGACCCCTATAAAGACACGGAGACACTCGTGGAGGCAACAGATATTCCTCCGAGTGGCAACCCCCCAGAAAGCATGCGATTCTCCCAGTAGATATGACGGTAAGGCCCACCCCTAGCAGAAATGAAACTGCTAGATTCTGGCATGAGTTTTACCTGTAACAAAAGTACATTTGGTGGGGGGCTGGCCCGGTGGTGTAATGGTTAGCTTTGCACTCTCTGCTTTTGCGGCCCGGGGGTTTGCAGGTTCGGATCCTGGGTGCAGACCTACATACCACTTATCAAGCCATGCTGTGGCGGGTGTCCCACATATAAAGTAGAGGAAGATGGACACAGATGTTAGCTCGGGGCCAATGTTCCTCAGCAAAAAGAGGAGGATTGGCAACAGATGTTAGCTCAGGGCTAATCTTCCTCACCAAAAAAAAAAAAAAAGTACATTTGGTGGAAGAAGAGGTTAAATGAGATTTCAAGTCAAAAGCATCCCCTGATTTTAAAGCTCCTTGGGTAAGAAGCTCAAATGACAGTGTTTCCAGAGGATCCCCAAATTCCAGGGACACCTCTACCAGGGCTCAGCAGCTTGCAACACCTTGTGTTAAAAATGGCGCCTCTGCTAAGCTTTCGTGCCCGCCTCCCCACCCTGCCCATGGGAATGTTGAGGGGCTCAGCCTGACACCCCCGCTTCCCTCCTTCCCTTTGCAGTGTGTTTCCAAGCTTGTCTGTGTTCCCTGTCTGCAGTCTCAGTGCAGGTTTGCGCACTGCCTTCGCATGGTGTAGTTTTAGAGGTACCCCCGATCCCAGCACTCTGCTCTCAATGTGATGCCCCGCGCCTGGTCAGTTGCTGTCACTCAGTCTGGTGTCATCTGAGGACCATCTTGTGCCCTTTTTTCCTTCTCATCCGCCCTAAATAAGTACAGAATGTGCTGAAGTCTGTTTTTAGGCCTTCCTATGTTGAGTTATAATGTAAAAAATGAGTTTAAATGCAGTTCTGACTAAAATTAAGACTTTTCTCAGCCCAGTGATATCATAAACTTTCAATAGCAGATAATTCCTTTCTGTAATGTTCTTTAATCAGGAAACATTTTTTCCTTAAAAAAACAAAGCAAACAGTAGAACTCCAGAGATTACCTGAATCTGAGGAGATTGCGTGTAGTGTGGATTCACCCTCGTCCCTTGACACACTTCTGTACGACTCTTAGGAAGCAGCACAGGCTAATCCATGAGTTTTCAGACTGGGTTCCATGCACCTGCCTGGGAGGAGGGAGGCACTGTTGGAGGACCTCTCCCCGCTCGCTCTCCTCACCCCTTCCCCTCTCCCTTGTTTCTTCTCTCTCTCTCTCCCCTTTCCCTGCCTCTCTCCCCCAGAGTTCTCCTTAATATTTAATTTAAAAAATGAATCCTCTGTCACATTAAACAACAGCCTGGTTTGGGCTCAGTTCGCTGTGTGATGTACATCTTCTAACTTCATTTACTCTTAGTTCCTTCAGTTGTAAAACGGTTATTGTAATGTTGGCTTATCCTATCATCTGGAATTATATTAAATTATAAATGTGAAAGTATTTAGAAAACCAATGTAAAGTGATCACATTCTTTTGTTACCATTATTGAGATTGGAGCACTGGTGTAAAGCTTCCTATACTGTTGTCCCCAGTAGGAGCAATGACAAAGAGAAGAACGCTAGAAAGACTGCGTTTATAAATTAGGTGAGATTGTTTAAAAAATTTCAGTAAATTGAGTTATTTCAATTTAGAAAGTTTAGTTTTAAAGATTTCATTTTTGTAGATTGTCTAGTGGTGTCCAACGGCCATATTGTGTGACCCAGTTCCCTCCTTTTTAAACTTCTTAGCCAAGGAGTCCTCTGGGCTGGTGGCTGTAGAAATCACCACGCTTGTACAGTGCACAGCCCCGGGGGCTGTGCTCCTGGTTGGAGCTCTGGCCTCTGAGGAAATGCTGGTCATCTCTTCAGGCCCCACCCCAGGGTTGTTCTTTTCCTGCGTGCTGAAGTGTAGCGACTTTCTGGACGGACACTGTTGTCTCCCAGTCCATGTCTGAGGACCCGAGTCAGAAGGTTAGTCAGCGCTGGCAAATGTTTACTTCTCTGGAGAACCCCAAGCTAGAATGTGCGAGTTGAGTTCACTGTGGGCGGGTGAGAGGACGTGATCCCGTGTCACCTCAGCGGGTGGAAGCGCGAGGAAGGAGAAGGGAGAAGAGAGCCACAACTTGTGTCCACATTCTGTTTTTGGAAGCCTTTCTTTTTAATTGGTTTAGTCTGGGAATATTGTAAGAGATGGATAGTTTGTCAAGGTGCATTCTTATTTATGATATTTGTAGTTGACAGGTTCTTTGGTGAGTTCTGGGCTAGCTGACACTGTTGGGCAGAAGTTTGCAGTGAATGAGATGGGATGATTGGTTGTTGCCCTGGGGGCCGGAGCACTGAGCAGATCCTGCTGATACCCTGGACCCTGGGCAGCATGGTCTCCAGGGAACTGAGAACAGAGCACTTGGTATTGTCCATCTCCCCTGCTGGAAATGATACTCAAAATAATACTCAGAAGAAGACCCAAACGTCCGCCTGATGAGGTCCCCTGGGATCACTCGCATATTGGTAGGAAAGCAGAGAGCTAGCCTCTTCTTCAGCGTGGGAGGGTCTAAGGTGGTCACAGTGTTGAATTTAGGGAAGGAATTTAGAGCTCATTTACGGTAGCCTCCTCTGAAAGCAGGAGCAGAGTGATGGCACTCAAATCCCAGCTTTTTCTTAGGAGCCGTGAACTGGCACAAGCTGTCTAAACTAAATTTCTCACCTATGACATAGGATTAATTATGCCTCTTGCCACACTGATTGAGATAAGGGAGCATGGGGCCGGCCCGGTGGCTTAGAGGTTAAGTGCACGCGCTCCGCTGCTGGCAGCCCGGGTTCAGATCCCGGGCGCGCACCGACGCACCGCTTCTCCGGTCATGCTGAGGCCGCGTCCCACATGCAGCAACTAGAAGGATGTGCAACTATGACGTACAACTATCTACTGGGGCTTTGGGGGGAAAATAAATAAATAATATTAAAAAAAAAAAAAAAAGAGATAAGGGAGCTTGATGTTTTTACTGACATTTTATTTAAAAGTGTTCAGAATTCATAAGATTAGAAAGAAAATTAGTGAAGCAGATGTTTCCAGTGTAAGGTCACCTCCCATGGTGTGGAAGTCCCTCTGGTACTCTGCCTACTGCTTCTCTTGCCTCAGCCCCTCCACATGGGGGCGCCGTGGAGCGGCCCCTCTGCCAGTCTTCTGCTGCGTGGAGCCCCTCGGTGGCGGAGCCGCTGTGCTGAGTGGCCAGGGTTGTGACTTCTCTTGCTGGCAGCGTGAGCGGGATGGCCATGCCGCACTCTTCCCCTGCCGCCTTGGAGAGGCCCTCCTGCTGCAGAGGGCTCTTCCTCCCAGGTCCTGTTAGGGGGTGGGGTGGACATGGGCTGAGGGGGGAAGGGGAAGGGACTGGAGGGAGGCCGCGGAGGGGGAACTGAGCTGTGATTTGTGGCTGAAACAACAGAAGAGCAGTAACACCAGAAGTGGAGTTTCGGTGTTTAAAAATAGTGCCCCGGTATGGCGTGGCAGTACCTCACAGAGAGTTGTGGAGATTGAAGTGCCATAAGGTATTTCAATGTGTAATGATACAATTCAAATGAACTTCCTTAGATTGAGCCAAATCCTGTCCCCTGTCATTCCATCGCTTTGTTCCGCTCTGGTCTCTGAAGCCACACAGAACACATGTGCTGCTACTTCCTGTTCTTCAGGTGGCAGAGGGTCACAGAAGCCGCTGCTTCCGCTACAGTGCTTCTCCTGGCTAATTGCCTTGGTTCCTTGCCCTTGCACACTTTTGCTGTTGGGTCCCCTCTAGTCAGAGCCCTGTCCTCTGAACACACTCTGTCCCTGCGGAACCCTGCGCCCAGCACAGCATTCCCGCCGTCTCCGGCCCTTACCGCCTCTTCCTGCCACTGTTCTCGTTCCTAGTCTGTTTCTGCTTTAAGTAAGTAACTCACGTTCTTGGCTCTTATGGTATCTTGTCCTTTGAGGCATGAACTGTTGCTTAAAAATTGGACTGATTTCTAGCTGCACTTGAGTAGGGTTTTTTTAAGCCTCTTCCCAAGCAGTTTGTGCCTGTGAAGTATTACAGCATCGATTTTGGCCAGTCCTTTTGGGATGGTTTTGAAGCTCAATTCTGATAACCAGTTGTAGAGAGCTGTGTAATGTTGATGAGCCATGCCTCCTGTGTCTGTAAGTGATTGACAAACATGCCACACACAGCAGGCCCTGCAGTGATACTGCTCTCCTATTCCTAGTCCATAATCATCGCTAATTCTTCAGGCCCCACACTGTTCAGCTGCTCTGGGTTTTCCCACCGTCTCTTGCAGGAAGGTGTCCTCAGAGACCCCTATGCAGCAGCACTAGGTGAATGTCATGGTACATCATCCACCTGTCTTCTCTGATGAAGACTTCTTCTGGGGCCCCTCGCTCTCACCACACATGAGGCCTGCCTGAGGCCTTTGCGTGGGCTGTTCCCTCTGTCTGGGATGCTCTTCCCCTATATCCCTTCCCCCATGGCCCCTCCCACACCCCCTTCCCCAAACTTCCTCACCTGCTTCAGATCATTGCTTAAAATCGCTTTTTCTTTCTTTTCTTTTTTTTTTTTTGTGAGGAAGATTGGCCCTGAGCTAACGTCTGCCAATCCTCCTCTTTTTGCTGAGGAAGACTGGCCCTGGGCTAACATCCATGCCCATCTTCCTCCACTTTATATGGGACGCTGCCACAGCATGGCTTGACAAGCGGTGTGTCAGTGCGTGCCCGGGATCCGAACCGGTGAACCCTGGGCTGCCGCAGTGGAGCGCGAGCACCTAACCGCTTGTGCCACCGGGCCGGCCCCAAAATGGCCTTTTCAATGAGGCCTCTCCTAGCTCTCTATTTCAAATTGCACCCTCCCCCTCCTACCACCAGACATTCCTAATCTCCTTATCCTGATTTTTTCCATAGCACTTATCTCCTTGTAACATACTCCAGCATTTACTTACTCATTATCTTTATCATCAGGTTTCTCCAGTCCACACAGGCTTTATGACTTTT